TCACAATAGTTGGATCGATAGTAAGGATTTCGTATAAATAATAATATGCAACGTGTTTACGTTTTCGAAACGTGTTTGCGTTTTCTAAACGTGTTTGCGTTTTCTAAACGTGTTTGCGTTTTCTAAACGTGTTTGCGTTTTCTAAACGTGTTTGCGTTTTCGAAACGTGTTTGCGTTTTTTAAACATGTTTGCGTTTTCGAAACGTGTTTGCGTTTTCGAAACGTGTTTGCGTTTTCTGAACGTGTTTGCGTTTTCGAAACGTGTTTGCGTTTTCGAAACGTGTTTGCGTTTTCGAAACGTGTTTGCGTTTTCGAAACGTGTTTGCGTTTTCGGAACGTGTTTGCGTTTTCGAAACGTGTTTGCGTTTTCTAAACGCGAACTGTTTGAAACTGTAACTGTAAATATCCAATAAAAATTTTTGATTCGTCAAACTGCTGAACATTGCAATATCCATTCCAAGCGCACACTAGTACAAAATTTGAAATTACCGAATCAGACCCTAATCTACAGTATCAGATACCAGGCCCATACTGCAAGATACGGTCTTTCGAAACCGAAAAATTTTACAAGTCCGAAAATCCGAATTTTTTGCACAATCTGACAACACTGTACGGAAAAATCAACTAATTTCTTACCCCATCTGGCAACACTGTAAAATGCAATGTTGCAAAATTTCACCAATAAATAAATCATTTATTTACATGCACCGTCCGGCAACGCTGCTGCGCCATCTTGAAAAATACAGCATTGCATAACCCGAAAAATGAAGGGGCATTAATACACGATTGCATAACCCGCATATTGAAGGGGCAACATGCAATACTTTCTTTTTACAGCGTTGCCATATTGAATAATAATCCCTATACAACGCTGTAATTTAATTCCTATTTTTCTGCACAATCATGCAACGCTGTTGGATAATTTACTGTGGTCAAGTTGCCATTTTCACCCTACTACCAGAAGTAGCGGATGCAGGCTCATGAAAATGAAATTGTATCAAACTGTTTCATTACAGTTCAAAAGATTTATGCTGTTGCGATTGAAATTTCAGTTGTGGCAACTGTAATTTTTGCTTGCGAAAGGATCAACTTTTGCTGTTAATCTTTTCCGATGAAGAGTGAACTGGTCACATTTCTCAAGATACATAATGCCATAGCTTTAGAGGAAGCTCTCATAAAACCAAAAATGATTGATAAATACTTACTTTGCCAAACGCTATCTTTATGAGACGGTATCAAGCGTTTGCAATGTTATTACTGATGATGAAATTAGAGTTCGGAGAAATTGCAATTAGAATGGCCAAAGGACCTGGCAGATATAACTGGGTATAAGCATCGTAAATAATAGTGCTCCTGCACTGAGCTGCAGAATTTAGCTCGCATTCTATCATTAGCTCCATTAATCAAAAAAAAGTGTCAGATATATAATGAAATACATAAAAATTAGCCCTAGGCATGGGTGATGTCCCTACTGTAAATCCTGGTTTTTTGCCTACCGTACACAGGAGATGGAACATTACATAAAAGTCCTATATTAAAGGCGGCTCCCAAGTTTATGATTATCAGGGTTCTTGCCCGATTCATTCACCCGCTTTGAAGGTGTGACAAAAATAGACTGGTTAATTTTATTATTGAAAGTAAACCCATTAGTAATTAAAATGGCACTCTCTCTTTCACCCTGTTGCGCGTTTAAAATCAATCGGTCGATGTGGACTCTAGTTGACAAGAATGGGAGAATCATAATGATGAAAGTTATATACTATGATACTGCAATGAAAGTATATACTTTCACCCCCAACGTTTTTCACAAAAAAAAAAATTAAAAAAAAAAAAAAAAACACCTATAAGGTATTATGACCTGAATACGTTTTGATCCATCGCTTTAAAGGAGTATGATATCAAATCGGCCCAACTTCTCTGAAATATGCCCATCTCTGATCAATAATTTTTTCGAGACCTTCCGACTCACCGCTGAGGAGACACTGATCATTACTTGACCCTTAGTGTATGTCCTTGTTTAGATGTCAAAGAGGTCTATATGAGACATGTAATGAATTTTTTTCTTTAAAGAGATAAAAACCAAAAAATCGTCATAAAATTGAAAAAAATTCTAAGAAAAAAAAGGAATGGGCCGGCCGGCACGTACAAAAAAAGGGGGAAAAATAGATACATCTGTTTGCCCCAACATTTTGTCATGGGTTACCGACCCGGTCTTGCCAACATCCATGAAGTTGTTAAGAAAGAAGCATTGTAAGTAGGAGGCACATAATATTCGCAATTATACGCTAAGGTTCAGTAGTTTGTAAGGCCTTCTATCAGAAACAAACAAAGAATATGGCATTGCTTGAAAGTTGTTGAGTTGTTCACTCATGTGTGAATATCTTTCAGTCTATCTTTCCTTTCTCTTTCAATGACGATTTCGAGAAGGACTGATTCTCCTTTTGACGATGATACTTGTTCATGTATATATATGCAAGAGAGACGATAATCACTCTATTATCTACCACTTGTATGTACGGCCGGTCGGCCCATTCCTTTTTTTTTCTTCGAATTTTTTTTCAATTTTATGACGATTTTTTGGTTTTTATCTCTTTAAAGAAAAAAATCATTACATGTCTCATATAGACCTCTTTGACATGTAAACAAGGACATACACTAAGGGTCAAGTATTGATCAGTGTCTCCTCAGCGGTGAGTCGGAAGGTCTCGAAAAAATTATTGATCAGAGATTGGCATATTTCAGAGAAGTTGGGCCGATTTGATATCATACTCCTTTAAAGCGATGGATCAAAACGTGTTCAGGTCATTATACCTTATAGGTGTTTTTTTTTTATTTTCTTTTTTTTTTGGTGAAAAACGTTGGGGTGAATAGTACATCATGAAAGAGGAAATTGGGCCGTTTTGATATCATTTCCTTTTAAATGATGAATCCAAACGGTACTGCCATCATATTTTTTGGGTGCCTGATTTTTTTTTTTTTTTTTTTTTTTTTTTTTTTTTTTTTTTTTTTTAATAAGTGATATTTTTTGGATTCGACCGATATCTTGGACCAAGAGAACTGTTGACTTCTTCCAAGCCAGTGCCGTGTTGAAATATGAAATCTTTTTAAGGAAGCATGTATCCCTATATTTAGTATAGGTTTTATTTTCAGCATTACTTCTCATTGAAATTTTTTATAATAAATTGATTTGGTGGTAAAACTTCCGGACACGAAAACACAGACGATATGTGCGCTTCATATCCTGAAGACGACCCCTTCGTTTCATTTTTTTGTTTATTAGTTTTTTGTTTTTTTTTTTTGGTTTATTGGGTAAGAAATCTTTAATTAAAATCTTGCTTTAAAATAATTGCATATTTTACAGGAGTTTGGAATTAAAAAAACGAAACACATAAATTTACAACAATTCAATAAAGTCTTTAATAGCAACTTGATCACCTTTCCAACATACAAATTTACGACGAACAAGTTTGCCAATTTGAAAACTGTCCGAACATGTACAATCTTTATCTCCAATTGTATTTATACTATTAATTCTGCTTTACATTGAATATAATACAACTTTAGAAGAAAAAATATTTCTGATGAAGGAAGAAGATTTATTTTACAAGAAACAAACGTTTTAAAAAACCATGAATGACACTAATTTAAAAACGAGTCTTAATTGGATTCAGGAAAGTGGGTATAAAAATACGTTATTGTATCAAGATTGTCATGAAAGTTGTTTTGGTAAAGATTAAATTGGTGAGGTACACGCAAGTTCAGGGGCATAATACTAATGTGTAGCATTTCGATGAATTGGTAATGCCGTGAAAAATTGTTCCAAGTTTAAAATAGGTACTTACATCAAAGTTATAGATATAAAACATTTATGAACAGAACATTTACAAATTATGATTGACCAGTTTTTAAAACTTATGAGTTAGGTTAGTTAGCAGGTCTTTTGTATGTTTGATTATCTTGATTGATTCATTTTCGATTTGCGCTAGAGTATTTAGATGACAATGATTATATTTAGGCGAGCTAAACGAAGGAAACCAATTTCCACAACTATCCTTACACTTTTTTCATACTTCAATGGATGTATGAATGGAATGTTACCTATTGATGCAGTCAAACGCCGTATTCTACCACAGCTAAGTTTTTCCAGTCAATACGAGTTTTAATCAGAAAAATAAAATAAGGCTATTAACTGAACTTGAGGAAAAATACGCGTCATGACCGGTCAAAACTAGACATTACTGGTTAAAATCAATTTCCACCATCGTCTTAAAGTTGTAGGCCAAATATGAGGGAAAAAGCATGCGAAGCAAATGAAGATGTTGCGTACCCACCATCATTATTACGTTAACTCCTCTGAAAGGTTGGTTTGAATAGTTTTATACTTTTTTTTAGACTTCTTTTCCTTACGTAGACCCTATAATAGAACAAAGAAAATAAATCAGTAAATGTTTAAAACTATTTTCGATTGGCAGAACTCACTAAAGTACATTATTTTATGATTAATTAAAAGAACATCGCCGATAAAAGTTGAGTTCTCCTTCAATTTAGCACATTTTGGGTGGTCTATGGCGAACTGACTCTAGGCATGTGGCTGATTGACGCTACGCGTGGGGTCATTCCGCCGTTTTTTCTCTCAAAAAAAAAAAATAATTAAAAAATGGGGTTTCCAATTTCCATATAAATAGTCCGAGGCGAAAAGATTATTCATAAAGTTAGAAAAGTTCATCCATTAAGTGGGGAAATAAGGAAAAATCATGATGTAGAGAAGTAAAGGACTCCCTTGGTAAAAGTCATCTCGGGGCAGACCCAAGGCAGCCACGGGACTGCCACGAGAATCAAGTTTTGCCACTTAACGGTCCCAAGGTGTCTCATCGAATAGTAACGCCGGACCTCACCACTAAGCTGGTCTGTTGGCCATCGACCGAGCGCAACGCACTATTGTTCCCATTCTGTTCACTCTTGGGTTCCTCTCCGTCTGTTCCGTTAAATCCGTGTCTATGTCACCCTCTACCTACTAGCAGCTAAACATTTGTCGAACAATTTTTTAACGCTTAAATAATCTCCCTTTTTTTAACGGATTCGGATTTAGCTCGCAATCCTGATGAAAGATATATAAAATTATGAGTAGTTATGTCGGTAAAATACTGATTTTAACATGGGCCAAACGTGCTCCGGAGTGACTTTTACCAGAGCTGACCCTATTCTACCCTATGTATTAGTGCAACACGTCAAACTGAGTTGTGTAGAGTTACATACAAGATTGGCAGCACGACAGCCGCAACATTTTATGGTGAGTTTGGTCATACACGTGCATAATATCTAAACTTGACCGACCTTTAAGATGTTTAAAGACCTACTGTTTGTTTGCGTACCTCCTTGGTCTCTATCACTTCGGTGGCCATCAAAAGTCTCTTTGAAAATTAAAAAGTGATTCCTCGAAAATGGAGATAATTGACCTTATTTTCAGTCCCTTTCTAATAAAAATCATTGGCAACACTGAAATAATGTTAATTATATCCGTTTACTTCTTATGATTTTTTCTCGTACTTTGGCCGTTGAACATTAGGTAATGGTGAAAATTGATTTTAACAATTCACTTTTGATTGCATCTGACTGAAGCGCACATATTTGACTTCAATTTCGAATTCTCACAAAGGGAAGTTTTGCAAAACTGGTTTTTACCGATTACTCCTTGGTAGCGTCCGGTCAAAACCGGAGTTGTGACCGGACTAAACTAGTTTTGTTCATATTAAATGGTTTAACTGCAACGGTAGTATTATTTATGCTTGCAATATTTACGATCTCTGAAAATGATTATTTATCCAGCAGGACTCAGTATTCATAAGTCGAGGGCTTTGCTTGAGTCGATTCTTCCGTTTCCTACTGTATGTAATTTGCAGTGAACTTGATTAACCTGCTTTAAGTCCGTTACATCCGTACGCAAATTAAAGAGTAAATTGTTGTAACTTCATCAAATCATAAAGGTAAATTATAACTTAATAAAAGATATCGATAATTTGACCAATATTTTTACTTTTTTTGGCAATTTTATACTTCATAAGTCAAAGTATTGCTTTGGTCTCGAAAGATACGGCATTTTGCGATGCCTGACAACGCGGAGTAATAAACGTCAAATCATGTTGGTTGGCTAAGTTTCTCTGCTATGTTTCAATGAGTGCAAAACCGGTAGCGTTCTGCCTGAAGTCCTGGATGTGCTTACCCACTCCAAATTCTCCTCAAAAAAGACTGTATGTGGAAAGCAAATCTATATTCCCCTCCCCCCTTCAAAAAAAGAAATGGCTAGGAAAGTGAAGATATCGGTCAAAAAATATACAACCATAAAAATCTCACTCACACCTCGCTGAGAAAAATATTGATACTTCTTTGAGAACAACTCTCAGAAATTATTTTTACCGATAAGGTCCATAGAGTTTCAACAAAAAAAAACAAAATGAATACCGATACTTCCTATTTTCTCTTGAACAGCGCTTTTGAACTCAAAATAAGTACTGTGACTTCCTACTAAAATTACACAAAAAAGATAATAGTTCGATAAGAAAAAGAAAGAAAAGGGAGGAAACTATCATAATCATCAAATTATGCAAAAATTCAGCAGTGTGAATACTGGCGAAGAAGTTTACGGTAATTTTAAAAATTGCTGAGTGAAGTCTGCAGGACACAAGTCAGAATATATCAGATTTCATCCGTGATTATGGGCTCGGCTGTTGTAATCAATATATACCTACTCCGTTCACTGCCGAAACGGTCTCATGAAAATATTTCTTTTTGGCTGAAGTCAAAACGTTTGGTGTCACCGGCATTTTGAATAATTTGTTTTCATCGCGCAACTATGCAACATAGGAACTGTCCGGAACATCTGTGGGATCTACGAGAAACTAAGTGTAGAGTAGATATTAGTTATGTGCGTAACCCATTGGAAGCACTAGTGTTGCGGAGATCAACGGAAACCGGCGATATAACGGTTCAAACGGTGGTTTGACCCGTTTGAATTCCGCCGTTTTCGGTCAGTTTTTTGGGCCGAACTGGTATAGTTCTAAAAAAAATCGTCGGCAACGAGTTGAGAAGTTACGTATTAATCATCAGCAATAATCAAGAACCATATTGAAATCAAATTATTGTGAACGGATGTTTTTGTAGCACAATTTACACTGTTCCATTATAACTTTTAAGATTTACGTCTGTCTAAACAGTATGTAACTGTTTGGGATCAAAAACTCACACGCAAACCAAAGGAAACCGATGAGGAATGTAATTGATTTGCCATGTCAGATTTGTTACAAATACATTCATTCTTTTTTTGTGTCAATATGGAGAAATGTATTCAACAGTCTTATAAAAATATCTTTGAACTCATTTTCAACAAAAAATATACCTCGAATAAACTGTAACTTGATAAAATATACATAGCACAGCAAACAATGTCAAAAGTATTCGCAGGTCGGCGAAACATGACACACTCCTTCTTACAAATTAACATCATTGTCTTTGAATAGGACTAAAGGTAATTGTAAATGAAAATATTTCAAATGTTAACATAATATTTTTCATTTCCCAACATTAAATAGATCATTTCCATACCCAAACTTAAAAATTAATTGCGATCTGAAGGAAATAAAATATTTGTTTGTTCCTCAAAAAATGTAATCAACCGCAAGTAATTAACGAGCAATTCGTGCAAGCATATCTTTCGTGTTTTACCTTTTCTTATCTTGAAGGTCATTGGTATACAGAGCTTCGTCTTAATCACAATATTTGTAATCAAAATAATTTTGTGTCTTACAACGTTCGGAGCGTAAATAAAGTTCAGTCTCTTGCCACCATTTACGTGAACCTGATAAAAAGTTAGGTAATACCTAATGTTACACGATTGAAAATTAGACAAATAAATTGTTCTATTCTTCCTTGGAACTTCTACTGCTTATAATATGTAATTATAAATGTTATAAACTATTTTCAGAAGACTTCTAAGCGGAAGGTAATGGAAGGAATGGAAGAACTGTACGATTGAACATGGGTCTTGTCTAAATATTATAAGACGCAACAAGACCAGACATGTATAACACAAAACAGTTGCAACATTTTTTTGATACATCAAATTATTCCTTTTAATTATACAGTTTTGATACATTTATTGATGAAAATAAGAATCAGCCACAGTTGGGAATACAAAAGACTAAAAGGCAAATCTGCTGAGTTCGCATCATTTCAGTCGAATATAATTGAAGGGTATCGCAGATTAAAGAGTTAAGTAACATCACCTAAGACATTAAATCTTTATATGAACTTTTGAGATTCAACTTGCCATGAACATTGAGACAAAATTTAATATCAATACTCATTTTTGACCTCAAGATTTGAATTTACAATTCATGCATGCCATAAAGACTTCAATGTAAATCATTAAATTATACAATGTTGTTTTTTACACTCAACATCATACATAATTTTCATTATTTTATTGGTGAGACCCTTGGATTTTAACTTAACAGAGCTGAATCGAATTTTGGTATTTTAAACGTCGTACAAATTCAACGTTCTGAAATTGAATACACTGCCAGAAAAAGGGGACATACGCGTGCGTCCCCTTTTTTCGTTACTTTACCTCGTTCATATTCTTAAAAACGCAACCACCAAGTTTTACGGTAAGATCTTAATTTTACCGGATGACATGAAGGGTCAAATGGGTTGGATTTCCATATTTGGATGAGTTTGCCGGAAGAGGAGGATATACAGGGTGTCCGGAAGCTAAGGTACTTAACTTTCAGGATCGCTTTTTCCGCTCAAAATATGACTTTTCTTTCCTAAACACAAATGCCCGAAAACGCTTTGTAAGTGGGCTATGTGCTTCCAAAGTTGCCATTTTTTCTTTCAAATTGATGTAAATCTTCGTCATTTTTTCATAAGTGGCATTACTTGTTAGCACTCTTTTTATTTTTTGTGTTTTCAAGGACGTACGTTTTCGAAAGATGACGTTACAAGCGTTTCCGAATTTGAAAATTGCGATAACTTTTTTGGTAGATGATTTTTCGAAAAACGGATCACGGCACTTGAAAGAGCGCGAAAAATCAAGGAGCGAAAATACTGCACTAAATTTTCCAGAAATGCATCATTTCGACGCAAAAGAGCTTTGACAAATTTTAAGATTTTCGAAGCTCCTTGCTGGGTAGGCAATTTTTGCTGCAAGGACTGTCAGAAAAGCCTACAGAGCAAGGGGCTTCGAAAATTCCAAAACTATTGAAACGGCTCTTGACCCATCTTTCCCTCACACTTTTTCCAGGCTTGGGACTGGCCCGAGCATCATCTTACGAAAATCGCGGTTAGGCGGCGAAATTTTTTATCTCATTAATATAAACTTCGAAGGATTCAGACTTTCAGCGATTCTACCTTTTTCTA